GTGCGTGCGTGCGTGCGTGCGTGCGTGCGTGTGTTGTGTGTGCGTCGTTTGTGCGTGCGTGTGTGTGTCACTCTGTGTGTGTGTGTGCGTGCATGTGTGTGTTTGCGCGTGTGTCGTGTGTGTGCACGTGTGTGCGTGCTTGCCTGTGTGGGGGGGTTGTAAGTATGGTGTGTGGGTGTTTGTATGGGAGGGGTGTATGTGTGTGGCGGTGGGTGGATGACTGTTGTACATAAGTATGTAGCAGATGTGGTGGGGTGTGTGAGATGGTGGGTGGTTGTGCGTGTGCATGGGGGGTGTAAGTATGGTGTGTGGGAGTGGGTAGATTATTTGATTGAATAATTCCATCGGATCTCTATAGTTCACATGCTAATAAAATTTCGTCAGTGTTATTTTTAACTTAATCTGGATCTAACTGAGATAAACTTTATTAGCATGGGTAGATCATTGTTTGGGCATGCGTGTGTAGCGCTCTTACCTGGTGTGTCCGTCGGCTCAATGGCTGAAGCTGTGACGATTGTAGATCACCACACGTCAACTGTAGACGTGTGTTACTCTCGTCGAGCGCTCGCTCTCACGTCCGCATCTTGTTTCGCAGGACAACATTGTCGAGGGAGAGATCAGCATCGATCCGAGGCACCATCGCCACTTCATCCAGCGACAGTTCCAGGTGCTGCACGAGATCGCTGCGGAGTACGGCGGCGTCGTCGTCAGCTTCCCGCGCGGCAGTCAGCGCAACGACCTTGTCCGGCTCAAGGGCAGTAAGGACAGCGTGGAGGGCGCGAAGAAACGCCTCGTCGAGATTGTCACCGAGCTGGTAGGTGGGGCGCGGATCGATGGTAGAAATATCTCAGAATATATATACATACAATATGCAATATAATACAGTATATATACATACAATATGCAATATAATACAGTATATATATATATATATATACGAAATGCCTCGAGGTTGTTAAGGAGCTGGTAGGTGTGTCACGGATCAGTGGTAGAAATATCTCAGAATATAAAGTTTTCAATAAAAAAACAATAAGCGATAGGTTTTTACCATAATGTTACTTACCTTTTAGGTATTTTATCAAAATATACAAAATACACAAAATCATTGCATTTTTTAAATAAGATTAATGGGGGAATGAAATATACTGATACTCTACTGAACCTGATAAGTACTGCCTATGCGCATACTACAAAATTAGCTACATATTTATTGTCACGGGAGCAAGCAAGAAAGGCATGTCAAATGTTTCCGATCTCGTGTTGTTGTTCCTTCATCGACTCTTGTTGTTCTTCTAGGAGAACCAGGTGACCATTGAGTGTGTGATAGCTCAGAAGTTCCACAGGAAGGTGATGGGGGCCAAGGGTTCAAAGTTACAGGCTGTGACTCAGGAGCACAACGTGCATGTCAAGTTTCCCGAGAGAGAGGTGCGACATGAGGGACCAGAGCCGCGACACGAGGGGCCAGAGCCAAGACACGAGGGGCAGGAGCCAAGACACGAGGGGCAGGAGCCACGGCACGAGGGGCAGGAGCCGCGGCACGAGGGGCAGGAGCCACGGCACGAGGGGCAGGAGCCAAGACACGAGGGGCAGGAGCCAAGTCACGAAGGGCAGGAGCCGCGGCACGAGGGGCAGGAGCCAAGGACGAGGCTAGAAGGTGCGTACATGTCCTCACTGCAACTGATGAGACTTCAGAGAAGTGAAGACCTATGAGAAAAAATAGGATGCACCTTGAAGAACCTTTATTAGCGGATTATTTAAGTGTGAAAGAGTCTCAGATAGTTTGATAGTAGTTTTGCAATTCATTAATAATAACAGCTTATTAATTATTTACTAATCGGTAATTTTGACTGATAATTTGTTGGTTATCGTTTCCATGTTCTGCAATATTGTTTCGTTCATGTTTTAAAACTTCCACAACCTTTCCATTATTCTCACCCACTCTCCCACTTCTCTATTTAATTATATGCTTACCATCTTCATGCCAGATGGGCAGGGTGATACCGAGGTCGAAACTCTGCCAAACGGCGACTCTCCCGCTCAAGAAACGCCACCAGAGGGCGCCGGTGATGGTGGCGACGAAGGGAAGGCTCGTAAATGCGACACGATCATCATCACCGGTCAGAAGGAGAACTGTGAGGCGGCGA